TAATTCACATGGATAATCATAGTTTATATCTTGACATAAGAAAAGTCAACCTTAACATATGAATCACACATAAACATAAGTCTTCACTTCATAACAGGCTCCAATCTTATCATTTCTTGAAGTACACTAGTACAATGCATTGGTAGGGTCCATAGTCCTACCCTATACTAAGTACACTTCTCAAGGAGTTATGATTAGAGTTCATATTCTTATCTTAGTTCATTTCTTAACTTCGCGAGACATAGCCATAACCGACATAGTCCATCTGAATTACATGAAATCTGATGTCAAATAACCCCACACCAAAAGAAGGTGTTTTACTTGACAAGGTAGATACTACACAATAGTTATTCTAGTGGATCCACTAAGCTAAGATCCACGGGGCCACATAGTTCTGTAACAAGGAGAATGCTACTAGAAACCTTGACTTGCTAATGTGGAGGTTTCCATCTCAGAAAACAACATCTATGTTGGGAACCCAGACTTAGTAACGTGAAGGTTCTCTTGTGGAAATCCATACTTTCTAGACGTGAAGACCCCACTATCATTTTCCATGTTCACTTGGTGCTAATCTCAAACTCCCTTTTTAAATGTCTTTAAGCCTTTAATTAACATTAGTTCATAAAGTAGGTTGTAGGGACTTTCTCCCTCATACATCATATAGCTCAAAGGTTTCTAATGATGAGAATGAACTTTCTTCATAGAACCTACATTATTTGAGAATGTCATTTCACAGAATCATAATATATTCATAATAGAGTCTAGTTAGAGTACAATTGAGTAACCTTTCAAGAGCCTCGCTTTCACTAGATTATCATAAACCTTATTCATTCATATATTTGTGTGTGTGTGTGTGTATACATATGTGAGAAATACTTCACATAAGCACCTTTGTTCAACATGTGTTCATACTTCACTAATCATATACTTTTCATGCATAAGAAGACATAAAGGTGCATATGAGAACTATCTTTTCAATTAACACCATAAACATATCATACTAATAGTTATGCATGGATTGTGTATGTGTTCATATTGGTCATCATGATCACATAAGATCAACAACTTAGTTACTTAAGAACCACCCTTAAAGGATCACAACACATGTACAATGAATCCCTCAAGTCATGAACAACTCACATATAGAACATTAGGGAATGTAGATCACACACCCACATTATATCATAAGAGACAAGATCATATCCAACATTAGAATACAAGACTCCTAATAAGATCACATATTCATATAGGGTATAGGTAGGGGTCATTCTACGAGAGCATTCATCACACTTAATCATGTAAACCATAACTAAGCCTAACATGATTATTAACATATACAAACATCATCAATACACCAATAGCATGATATTAGAATGGATGACTTCACAAGACCTTCATACTTTTGATCATCATAACCACAATTCATATTACATCTATTGCCTTCAAGTCCATGATCATAACATATAGGAGAGAAATAGGAATGTAAACACCGCCACCAGAAGTGGATCATACCACACAGTGTCTACTCCAATACTATAATTAGGAATTTAAGTCAACTTGCCATTTCTCCCAGCTATGATCACCATTGATGAATTCTAAACAATTGATAATCAATTTACATCGATAAAACAAGGATTAAACAATACACTATATTCTAATCACAAATGAATCATCATCTAATCAATATCACAAGACCCACATTATAGGCTAAATTGAGAGATTAAGAGGATCATGGGTTCTTCATGGAATTGAATTGAAAATCATCATGAAACAGTAGTGAAACATTTATTCATCATTAGAATGACTGAGAAAATCGTTTCACAATGAACCCATGGCTAGATTGAAGATAGCAATTTTGACCTTAGAATTACATTGGAAAACCTTTAAAAGAACTCCTTAAATGAAAGGTTAACTAAGGATCAAGGGTTATCATACCTTAATAGAAGAAAATCCCACACATTTGAAGAAGAAAGCACCTCAAGATTCATTTTCTAGCTTGAGCTTGAGGATTTGAGAGAATTTTGGAAGAGAAAAATTGGTTATTGGGGTTTGACTTGGGAAAAGGGTTAAATATGACATAAAATAGTTTATAAGCCACTCCCAAAGTTACCAAAAAACCCCATACTTATTTGGACTTTTAGACATGTCAATCTTGACTATAAAACGACGCAACCGAATCTAGAAAGTGGTTGCGCGTCGCAAAGGTAGCTCACAATTTTGCCTCACGATATTCTTGTGGCAGTGAGCCTTGTGTCAGGCGCAGGACACGGGGGAATACTGAGTGCCATGCGCAAGACGTGTGAGGGGCTCCAGATCTTGCTTCTGCATGCTCCCTTCGACAGCTTTTTTTTCAACATTCGGGTCCTCCTCGGGGGCCCTTTGGGTGGTCCTTGGAGAGTCGTACCTGAATGTTTTGACCCTTAACATGTTTGTTAAGTCACTAGGGTCACCTACATTATTGTTACACTCCAAAACACACATAAAAATAAGGCAAACATACAAGGACATACTAACACGTAAAAGACTAGTTTCTGGACGTCTTGGTCGTCCTTTGATTTCACTTCCGAACTCTTTAAAATGACTATCACAAGTTATTGCTACACACTTTATTTACATGCTAATAAGCTTTAAAACTCATGTGATGCTCTAGATAAACCTATTTCATTTTGAGGGTAATTACACAAACATATATCACACAACATGATATCACAATTATAACATACCCCTAGTTCACCGTATGTGGCTTCTTCCTATAATTTAATCATCTTTTATTTGGTGCGCGAAGGCCTACGCATAAATCCTACTATTGATTACCATTATACTATGCAGTGAGCACAAATTTATAACTACTCAATTAATAAACCTTGCAGCTGCACAGAATTATGGGTTCGATTTTGTTTCTGAACTTCGTGACGGTAAATTTGACCAAAAGTTCACAAGATATCAACCTTCTTATGCTAGAAATCTCCTTATCCTTTTTCCCTGAGCTCAGAGCATCTTTTTGAGTATTTCTAGGGTGACTTACGTCTAAATTTGGTGTTTTGGGAAGAATGAGAAAAAAAAGTTTCACGTTATTCACATTCTTCCTCACCTATCCCGCTCTGGCAACTACTTGCCGGTGTGGAGCTGCAACTCTATTGACATCTTGGTCCGCCCTGGCGGGACAGTGGTCTCGCCGTTTTCTCAAAAATTTGTTTTTCCTAAATAACGACGGTTCGGATCGTTACAGTTAGGGAGTTCATGTTTCGATAGATGAATGAGCTGATGGATGATGATTAAAAAAATTAAGAAATATTGTATTTCTTCTTCTCTATTTATTTTTTGTATTTCCCTCTAATGTAATTATTTAATTTTCTGTAAATTTCTTACTGTAGTAAGTTTTTTTATTGTGGGCTCAACTTAGTCATTTCTTATTTCATTAGAAGTATGTTAATTTCTAACCAAAGTTCAAACCGTTTCGTAGAAATTTAATTGTTCTAATATATCTATAAGAATTTACACAGGGGAAAACTAGCCTTAAAAACTAGTCTTGTAAATAAAAAAGGAGTAGATTCTTATTTTGTAATTTAAAGTCTTAAACACAATATTCTAGTAACTTTCCTATTTATTATTATTTTGCAACCTAATCTTCTTAGTGCGTTGTAATATCATTAAAAAAATCTTTTACAGTTTTTACAAAGATAATAGAAAAATTAGCATATCTTTGTTAGGATTTAAAAATATAATAATAATATAATTACATTACATTACTTTCTTCCAACAATAGAAAAGATATTCTGGACTTTCTTTCTTAATACACGTACAAAGTCAGTAAAATAAAGACCAAAAGAAACATTTTTATTGACTTCCAAATAAAAAGTTACAGTTAAAACAAAAAAAAAACCACAAATTTTGGACTTGCTTGGCATAACTTATAAAAATTAGAAGAAGAAAAGATGTAATAAATTGATGGAGTAGCATCTGTCCCAGCACCACTAGTTAAACACCACAAATACCAATTGTTTGGAAGCAACAATGTTTGGCCAAAATGGAAGAGACTTATCTTAATCGCGTTAGTCCAAGGAATAATAATGCTAGAGACAAAAACATGAAATAAAATAAAACTACTAACAACAAATAATTATTCTTTATTTTCATGGGGGGAAAAGCAACAAATAACTTGTATTTAATATTACTTTTATTTTTAATTTAAATCACTTTATGTTTTGTTTATCTGTAATTTCCTATTTTATGCTGATTTCAATTTTAAAAAATGAGACTTTTTATAGCTTCGCAAAAATCTAAGTAGATATATAGGGTGCAAAGTGCAAACCATTAAAAATGATAGCCTGAAGTGTAAATCAGAAAAGGTGTTTATATTAGGATACAAATCACAACTACTCTAAAAATATATATATATATATATATATATATATATATATATATATATATATATAAGGGTTTGTTTGGTACGAAAGGAATATATTTTCCAATTTTCTCATGTTTGGTTAGGTAAAATATTTTCGAAAATGTTTTTCAAATCAACTTATTTTTCTCAAATTAAAGAAAATTATTTCCCTTAAAAAATTAAGCAATACGTTTTTCAAAACATTACCAACTTTAAATTACAATTTTTTTTTTTGAAAAAATAAATTTATAGCTTGTTTTTTAAAAAATATTTCTAAATTTAATTTTTGTATTTTTTTTTAACCCCGCCCTAACCCTTAACTCCCCTCCCCCGCCAATCCATTCCCTTGCCACCCCCCACCCCCACCCCTACCCTCGCCTCCAAAAAAAATAAATTAAAAATTTATTTTTAAAAAGTATTTTTAATCAAATTTTTGTTTTTCATCCCACAACCCCATCCATACCCTCGACCCCCACCCCCTAATTCCTTGCAATAATATTCAATGGTCACTAATTTCCGTTGATGTAGAGTTTCGAGGAAACTACAAACTAATTATAATACAAAATGTTCAAATCTTAGTGCTACATAGTTGTATGATTTAACATAAGTTTATTAGAAGCGAGGGTTATTTTCAGTCTGTAGAAATTAGCTACACATAGTCAAAAGTCTCAATTTCTGTGCAACTCCAAATCCCACCTACTTGTTCTATAAATATATTTGCCATACTTCACAAACAAAATAAATAAACTTGTCATCATCCATCACAAAAATTAAACATGGAGGTTTTTGTAGCCTTCGCAGGAGTAGTTGTATTAGCTTTTCTCTGTAAAGTTAGCACTTGTCGACGCCCAGTTAACAGGAAGCTACCACCGGGTCCAAAACCATGGCCAATAATTGGCAATTTGAACCTACTTGGTCCTATCCCGCATCAATCTTTTGACTTGCTTTCCAAAAAATATGGAGAGCTGATGCTGCTAAAATTTGGGTCCAGGCCAGTTCTTGTGGCATCATCTGCTGAAATGGCAAAACAGTTTCTTAAAATACATGATGCAAATTTCGCCTCCCGTCCTCTGTTAGCTGGTGGAAAGTATACAAGCTATAACTATTGTGACATGACATGGGCACCGTATGGTCCCTATTGGCGCCAAGCACGACGAATTTACCTGAACGAGATATTTACACCAAAAAGGCTAGAATCGTTTGAGTACATTCGTGTTGAAGAAAGGCAGACCTTTATTTCCCAGCTAAATTCTCTTGCTGGAAAGACATTTTTTCTGAAAGACCATTTGTCACGATTTAGCCTATGCAGCATGACAAGGATGGTTTTGAGCAACAAGTACTTTGGTGAATCAACAGTTAGGGTGGAAGATTTGCAGCACCTAGTAGACCAATGGTTTTTACTTAATGGTGCTTTTAACATTGGAGACTGGATTCCATGGCTCAGTTTCTTGGACCTGCAGGGGTATGTGAAACAAATGAAAGCTTTAAAAAGAACTTTCGATAAGTTCCACAACATTGTACTAGATGACCACAGGGCTAAGAAGAATGCATTTGTCCCAAAGGACATGGTGGATGTCTTGTTGCAGATGGCTCAAGACCCTAATTTGGAAGTCAAACTCACAGATGATTGTGTCAAAGGATTAATGCAGGTTAATTAATTTATTTTCTTCTCAAGTTTGTCTTAATTCTAACCTTACTTTTACTATGGTAGGATCTACTAACTGGAGGAACAGATAGCTTGACAGCAGCAGTGCAATGGGCTTTTCAAGAACTTCTTAGACAGCCAAGGGTTATTGACAAGGCAATCCAAGAGCTTGACCAGGTTGTTGGGAAGGAGAGATGGGTAGAAGAGAGAGATTGTTCACAGCTATCGTACATTGAAGCAATTCTCAAGGAAACACTAAGGTTACATCCTCTTGGAACTATGCTAGCACCACATTGTGCTATTGAAGATTGTAAAGTGGCTGGTTATGACATAGAGAAAGGAACCACCGTTCTGGTGAATGTTTGGACCATTGGAAGGGACCCCAAGTACTGGGATAGAGCACAAGAGTTTCTCCCAGAGAGGTTCCTAGAAAAGGACATTGACATGGATGGACATAACTTTTCCTTCTTGCCATTTGGCTCAGGGAGGAGGAGGTGCCCTGGCTATAGTCTAGGACTTAAGGTTATCCGAGCAACTTTAGCCAACATGTTACATGGATTCAACTGGAAATTACCTCAAGGTGTGAATACAGAAAGCGTAAGTGTGGAAGAACAATATGGGCTCACAACACATCCAAAGTTTCCTGTTCCTGTCATCTTGGAACCTAGACTCTCTTCACATCTCTATTCCCCTAAGTGAAGCAACTTTTGGATTACTATTAAAGTACTATTAGGTTTTTGTCTATTCTGTTTTTGGACAAGTTTATACAAGAACAAAACAAGACATATATGAATAAAAATAGTTGTTATATCGATTATGCTTTAATATTTCAATAATCCACAGCCACACACCACTGCACTTTCTCACCGTAAAGACAAACAAAAATACACTACTTTTCAACAAAGATGGACTGTCAACTGTGCAAATACATCTGGAGTAATACTCTTACATTAGAAAAGTCATTTCAGTTTCAAAATTGTCACTTTAACCAAACTGAGTTATCTAATATTTTATAAGCACAAATCATACAATTTGAGACCAAGACTGTCTACTGTCATATGATCTTTCAATCAATTATTACATGGGAGACAAATGCCAATCTTAGCCTTTAAGCACTTACTTCCATAGTTAAATAAATTATCATTTTTAGGCTTCTAAAATGAAAAAAATACACTCTGCAACGTTTTCACCACAAAAAAATAAATAATACAACAGTTTACTGAAGGAGGACTAAATCAATATCCTCAGCATATTGCTTTGACAATGTCTGATAGCAAGGATAAATGAAACACGGTATTTTTTTTGTTTTTCACCCAAATTCTTCAAGTTCTCAGTCAGTTGAAACTTGAATAATCTGCTTTCCAACGTTTCGCCCATGATAAATACCAACCAAAGCTGATGCAGCATTTTCTAAACCCTCAGCAATGTCTTCTACAAAAAGCAGTTTTTTCTCTCTTATAAGCTGAATAGCAAACTCGAGGTACTCTGGAACCTTGTGCCGGAAGTCAAACTCAGAAAAACCTTCCATTCGTAATCTCTTTGAGATAAGACAAAACAAATTGTGGATACCATCTGGTTTCTTTAAATTGTACTGAGAGATCATCCCAGAAACTGCAATCCTACCACGGAGGTTCATGTGCAAAAGCACTTCATCCAGCATATTTCCTCCAACGTTCTCAAAGTAAATGTCAATACCATTGGGGAAATGCCTTCATGTTGTAAAGACACAGTTAGAGAAGCACATCATTTCAAAGACAGACTAAATTACATGTTTCAGACTCATAAAATTTGATAATTAATTAAATATTTATCAATGCGCTCTGAAGACTGGAAAGTCCTTCATTTTGCAGTGAGAGATAGATGAAGAAATATGTCCCTCCACAGAAAAATAATTTTATTCTTAACCTAACCAAATTTAAGAGTTAATATCTCAAATTGTCATTGAACTTTGAGAATTTATCTAAAAAAGGCATTAAACTTTATTTTGTACCAATAAAATCACTCAACTTAGACTTTTGTATCAAAAAAATCACTCAACTTAAGTCTCTGTGTCAATAAAATCATTCAATTAAATTTCTCAATAACTAAAATTTACCATGACAAAATAATTACTATTTATTCCTAAAATTGAATGATATTAATTCCTAAAATAAATAAATAAAAGAAAATCTATTTTGTTGATTAAGTTAAAAATTCATATATGAATTAATTCTCATTTTCCATTGTGTCTGATATTTCAAAATCAAGAACTCGTATCTTTTGAATATTTGTATAGCGATAAGATTCACAGCAATCCACTGCTACCACTAGGCGATATTAGTTCTGTTAAAAAATGGGGAATAACATAGCTTGAGATTTTTAGACTTGCCAACTCAGACTTGTCAACTCAGCCAAATTGATAAAATGGTAAATGTAACAAACTAAAAGACTAGAGAGGGCATGAATTTGCACGGTATCTTCTTCTCCAAAATCTCTTCCCTTATATCCAATTTCTTCATCCTCAATCTCTTCTAAATCTCTTCTATCTCTTTTCTATTTCTACACATCTATCGAGCTATGGAGCTACTATTCGACTTTTCTGTTTTCTGTTATTCCGTAATTAGCTTAGTTTGTAGTTCAATTCAGTTAACAATATAATCGAAAACCGTTTCAAAAAGTACTTTGTTATTTCAAATCTGTTTGGGATCATTAAACGTTAGTGGCGTATTTCTCGAAGTAGGACAATTTAGATTTCAACTCTCTATATGAATATTCCATGACTTTTGTACAATATTTCGAGAACTTGATCTCTTTATGAAATTTTTGAGATGTCTTATATGAGAATTTAGTACTTTTTATATTAGCATAGGCATAAACTAGGGTTTAGGGTTGAGTAGCCTCCAAAAATCCTAATTTGAGTTGAACACAATTAGTAGAGTCTCAACTCGAATTGAACACATCTTCTAGAGTCCCACAAAATTTTATGTCTACAAATGTCCCTTGACCCTGCTTCAAGGTAGTCGAGTGTAGACTTGATGAAACTCAAAGACGAGGCTTGAAGTACTCATTCTTCCACTCAGATTTAATTTAAGAGAGAAGTGATGAGGGCACATGGTCCCACTTGGCTACCAATTTGTTTTGCAACAAATTTTAAACATATGAAAAATAAATAAATCACACAAATAAAATCTGAAGAAACATAACTTTATTTATCAAGAGTGTGAGTACAAATCTGTTGATCCCTTGATTCCCCCTCCTAAGATTTATCCATGATTCGAGGGTCGTTAGTGGCGGATTTCTCGAAGTAGGATGATTTAGATTTGACCTCTCCATATGAATATTCCATGACTTTTGTGGAATATTTCGAGATCTTGATCTCTTTATGGAATTTTTGAGATGTCTTTTAAGAGAATTTAGTATCCTTTATATAGCCATAAACTAGGGTTTAGGGTTGAGTAGCCTCCAAGAATCATAATTTGAGTTGAACACAATTTGTAGTCTTAACACGAATTGAACGCATCTTGTAGAGTCCCACAAAATTTTAATGTCTACAATATATACAAGGGAAAAATTCAATGCGTCATTAACAAATCTTTCCCTTGGCTTGAATTCTCTTTTTCAACAGGAACACCATCTCTCTATCATGCCCTTATCCCTCGAAAGGGCTCTACTAAATACTGCACACACCAATCAAGTAGGCTTTGCCTAAACTTGTTAGTGGTGACTACTTTGGTCATCATATTAGTCAGATTATCATGTGTACACACTTTCTTCGCATTACAAACCCCTTTGCAATCTACTTACTTTGTCCCTTAAGCAATGAATCAAACTTCCATGTTTGATTCTTGTGAAGAGACTCAATCTCTTCGCCCATAGCACCAACCAACTACCCACTTATCTTCTTCTGAATTAGAAATAGGCAAATAGCCTATTTATAACTTGTCTTTGGTCTTGTTATTTGCCTTCTCGTTGAACTTCACCCTTGTTTGCTTACAAACATACAATACTCAGAAAAATTCGAAGCTTGATTTTTGTAGCCACCCAACAATGTTCGCTTGCTCAACAAAGAAAATTGCTTGTCACTCGTACGACCATGTCCAATTGGCACAACTATGACTAATTCAGATCACTCTTTCGAGAAGCTAAATTTTCTTCCCCCAACTAATTCAGATCACTCCTTTGAGAAGCTACATTTGATTCCCCTTCAAGTACACTGGCTTGAAGATAATACGATCTAGAATGTAGCTTACTCTTAATGAGTGCCATGGACCTTTTACACACTTTCAGTGTTCCATTATCTCAATGAAAGTTATATCTCTTATCATCCAAAGTTGAGAGAGAATTGAATTATTCTTCATTCGAGGAACATATCAACACTCAATGTTTCTGATAATATCATCAAACATTCTCAATTACCTATCTCCTCTACAACTAATGGAGTATCATCGCAAAAGTAGACAATCTCAATCGTTTGCTTGTATGTTGCAAACCAATTCTTGTATGAACCCATATAATAAGTTGCACCAGAATCAAGAACCAAGAAATTATGTCTATGACTAAAACTCACAATTGTAAACTTCCCTTTTATGGTCATTGTCTGAATTGGTTCTAGTGTCTAAGTAAGTGTCAACAATATTTGCAGAGCGATCAACTTTCTACTTCCCTATTTTATCCTTAAGCTTAGGAAAATCTCTTCTATAGTGAGTCTGCTCGCCGCACTCATACCACTTCTGCTTCCTTGCTCTAAACTTCAATATGGTGTTATTCTACTAAGTTCTTCCCCTACTCATAATGCCCTCACCATCAAACCTGTTATCCTGAAAGCTCTTCATAGAACTCTTTAGATTTTAGTGCATTACTAACTTCATCTAGTGAAATACTGCCTTTTCTTGTATAGCAACGTATCAACAAATGTATCATAAAATGATGGTAAGAAACATAACATTATCAAGGCCTGATCCTCACTCTCTATTTTGATCTATGTTCTTAAGGTCCACTCTGATTAGACTAAACTCACCAAGGTGGTTTTTAACCAATCTGCATTTTTTCACATGGAGATTGTACAACCTCCTTGTCAGATAGAGACCATTTATCAGCAATTTCTTAGAATATATATTTTCCTACTTCTTCCGTGTCACTGTGGTAAATTTTTCTTCAACAACTTCCCAAAAGAAGGCCATTTATAATGCTCAAGAAGATCGCACTCAAAGTCCTCTTTTTAAAGTCTATCTTCTCTGGCTCTTTCGTCTCTTCAGAAAAACCTCTTTAATTGTCTTTCATAACCCTTGAAAGTGACAGTCTCATTCTAATCTTCCATTGATTGAAACTAGATCCACCATTGAATTTCTCTACTTCATACTTTGTTGATAGATGAAGTCATCTTAACCCTTGCTATTGTTACAGAAATATCATGGGTTAACTAGCGCACAAACACACACACAACAAATAAAAAAGAAAAAATAACACAAAAATTTAATGAGGTTTCGCTAAGCCTAACTCCCCGAGGAAGAAGTAGAGAGTTTTTAATTATTAAAAGTAGAAGGGTACAATCATATGAATCCGCAACTACAACCCTTTTACATAGGCAGAGTAGATTTAGTTTTATTTGGTGCACACCTGAACTTTATGTTGGTGTAGTTAGCCCCTTGAACTTGATAATTTTACATTCATGACATTCCTAGATGTTGATGTGGCAAAGAGTGTGAAGCCACTCTCTTTAAGGCGCATGAAAAGGGAAGAATCAGCTTCCAAGAGGGTATTTTCAACTATTTATTGCCACAGTCAATATAATGATTTGCTTTTTAAAATTGTATTTCTCTATATATTATTCTTAATACACAATGCAATATTGTTTATAAATAAGATCTAATCTAAGCTTATTGTCAAAAGAACAAATAATGCAGATATTCTTGGGCCATAAAAGAAATCACAGCAGTATGAACCTTTTCAAGGCTCCGGCAAGATCATTTCCTTGCTTGTAGTTAAAAGCATCATCGAAGCCAAGTTGTGATTTTAAAAGACATACCTGCAAAATACATGATTAATAATGGGCACTTGCATATAAAAGCAAAAGTGAAATATTACCTTTTCATCAGTACTAGCGCTGCCAACGACATAGCAACCTTTCATTTTCGCAAATTGTCCAACAAGCTGACCAACTCCTCCTGCTGCAGACGAGACATAAACTACATCCCCTTCCTTTGCGGAGCATAGATTATTAAAACCAATATAGGCTGCAAGTCCTGGCATACCTGTAATAATTTAACTTTAAAATTAGTCGACACAAATATGTATGACTCATTTTAGACGAAAAGTAAATAGGAAATTGATACCTAAAATTCCAGCATAGTATGAGAGAGGCACATCGGTATATTTGATATTGAAAAGTCCATTAGTATTAAGAATCAAAGTATAGTCTTCCCAAGCAGTCATTCCCCAGATATAATCCCCCTCCTCAAAATCTGCATCTGCTGATTTAATAACTTTTGCCACACCAAGTCCAATAATGACCTAAAATTGAAATGCGATGATAAATTGTGACAAGTAATTAAGATAAGGAATCAAAAAAGGGACTTACAGAACCAGGATTGAATGAGGCAAGTAAAGGAACATCCTCGGATATATGATGAGACATCCTGTGGCGCATATAAGGGTCACAACCCAAGTAAAGATTCTTCACAAACAAACCCCTTGATCCTTGTGGAATATCGCTACTTATCATTGACTTTCGTAACTCAAAATCACTCTCTTTTGGATACCCTTCAACATAATTCTTCAACACAACTTGTTTGTTTCCTAACATCATGCTTGACTCTCTCCTTTCTTCTCTTCTCTCTTTTGCCAACTCAAATCTACAGTCAAAACCACAACTACCGCCTGCAAACTTCTTTAATTATATCTTCTTACTCCATTTAATTCCTAATAAAATTTCTAAATCTCAACGATATGTATTTAATAGTGTAATCACATTTTTCTCTTTTTTTTTTTTGTCCTTTTCAATGCCACACTCTAGGAATATTTATTACACTTCAAAATAGGGTAATGCTAAAAAATTTAGAAGACTATAATATCTTATTTCTTTTTAAATAAATTGAATCGTTAAGTAGTATACATTACATATCATATATGATACACTAATCTGATATACATTATACATGATACACTAATCTAATGTGTAAGATACATTAATTTAATGCGCGAGATACATCAATTGATATGTGAGATACATTCATTTGATGCGCTCATATATCAATTTGATGCGTAAAATAAGTAATTTTGGTGGCTTGTAAAACGAATGGGGATAATGGTTATAAGAGAACTTAAAGGTGAGATTTCTATCATTTTTCCTAGAAGACAACTCCCACCTCCACGTAGATCAATAAATTCCCTAATTACTAATCCCCCCCCCCCCCTGATTTCTCTTAACATACAATTCACCCATCTCACAAATAGTTCCCCCTCATTTCTGTAATACGAGTTCTCTCATTTCTCTCATACGATTTCCCGTTAAAGTATTAGGTCATACGTTGGTTCGTTCTTTATTATAGCATTTTGTCAAAGCATGAACTTCTTTCCCTCTTAAGTGAAACTTAATCACATTGAAACAAAATTTTTACCATCCATTACTGAAAAACCATGACTAACAAAATAGGAAAACATGTTTTTAACCATGTTTAGAGGTTATAGATGTGAAAAATCATACCGGAATTTCTGTTGGAGAGTTTCAAGACTCTAAATTACTGGGGAAAATAACTCAATAGATTACATTACGACGCCTTGCCAGTCCTACATAGCTCCTTGGCAGTGAAACAAACTAAAAGGGCTCTGAAATCCAAATAGCTAGACTATTTCAATATATATGACATTACAACACCATTTTGTTTGTATTTTCTCTTGATATACTTGCATAACTCAAGAGTTCTACTTTGTCGTGTAAATTACAACAGTCCTCTACATACAGGTCGGATTCCACTCACAATTGGGAAATATGATTTGTTTCATTTAAAAATAGACAACCGGAGATATAGTTGTTGAAATCATTTCCTTTAACAGTTTCTCCTCCATCGATGATAGTTTCAGTGCCATAATGTGACTGCACTAGTACAGTATCCATCTGGTTTTAGAGTTCTGCATTGTAGATTGAGCTTAACAAGAGGGAGGGGGCATTTCTTCACAATAAGATACAATGACATGAAATTTATCCACGTTAAAAACTAAGGAAATATCGTATGAGAAAAATGACGGGAAATCATATTAGAGAAATGAGGAAAAAATTAGTAATAATGGGTTTTATTAGTCTATGTAGAGATGGGAGTTGTTTGGTGCTTATGTGACGTCAATGTGTCATCCACGTGACACTTAACATACTTCTCTTAGTTAGAAGGATAAAAATGACCCAATACATTGACATAAGGATACTTTTGAGCCAAATATAAATTAAAGATATATGTGAGCTATTTCCGATAGTTTAAGGGTATCTTTGAGCATTTTCCAAAGGTGAAATATCATAGGTAGAATACCATTCCGGTAAAATTTCCTGGCCAAAAGGATTTTTCCCTTTAAAATATTCCTAGTTAATTAGCATTTTCTATAACATCCCATAAATTGAAATAACTAAGAATAAGCTAGGAAACCAAAGATAATCATTTTTTGGAAATAAAAAGAGAAATGAGAAAAATTTCAAGATTTTAAAAGTGATTTTTTGTCATTTTCAAATGGCCATAACTTTCAGCTCAGAAGGAATTAGGGTGAGTTATTTATATGGTTGGAAATCCCTGGGGAAGATCTTTCCAACTACGCCGAGTTTGCACATTTTCGATGTTGTGTGAGGGAGTTATGTCTTTCTGAAGTTGGGTTGTAGGACTGAGCAAAGTCCAATCCGAATTTAGTAGTAAAGTAGTTTTTTTCCCTAGTATATCCTAGTTCATTTTAAGGGTTTATTAAGGGTAAAACCAAGTCCCAATTCAGTTTTTGGAAAAGTTAAGACGCTTAGGGCTTGGGAGAAAAAAGAAGAGAAGAAGAAGATCAAGAATTCTTCAAGATTGCAAAGGATCGTTACGCGGATTTCGTCGGGGGTGATCCCTTTAAGGTATGTGAGATCTTTCTGTGTTGGGTTCGTTCATCCACACACCAGTATGTTTAATCCATCAAGTTTTATATAGATTGAATTATAAACCTTGAATTTCTTGATGAACAAATTGTTAAATCTCTATTGGTTAGGTTGTAGAATACTTTTAGTGGTTTTGATTCGTGTTTCTGGATCGTTTTACGAGTCTAAACTATTGGGTATTGAGTATAGTAGTGATCCTAAGTGTTTGGGGGAAGATCCATGGAAGTTTAGGAGGTTTAGAGATGAAAATCGGAGAAGAAAAGTCGGAGGTCTCGTTTGATACACCCTAGGGAGCCGCGCCTGCCAGATCCCCTCAGGGCAGGCTCTGTCTGACAACTACTGGCGTGTCGCGCCAGCCAGAGCGCCTAAGACTAGAGTCTGTACGACATGATCTAGCGCTCCGCGCCTCTTAGAGCGTTAAGGCCACCTGGAGACCTCATTTTTTCCCTATCTTTCTGTACTAGTTCCAAAGTGATGTACCTATAATTCCTAGTTGATTCCAACACTCTAAAGTGCATCTAAACATCATATAATCATCCATAAACATGATATCAGGATCCTTGAATCCTTAATCCAATTTAAGGAAAGTTAGGATCAAAGTCAAAGAACTTGAGAGAAGTCTATAAGTTAAGAAGCAAGTCGAAGTAAGTTCTTAGATTCTAGCATCCTAAACAAACATTTTAAACTTTGTTTTAAGGCTCAAGCTATAAGACAAGCAAAGATTAAAGAGTTAAAGTTTGAAGTTCCTTTCTTCAAAAGTATATGGGGACTAAGTATTCCTAAAGAGAAGTAAAATATTTTCATATTTAAACAAGCAGGGAAAACTATGATTTCCAAGAGAGCTTTTTAAGAAAAGCTAAGTTTTGAGCACTAATCTCAAATTACAGAATAAGTATGTTTTAAAAGCATAAGAACCCGTATATATTTTGGGAGTAGTATTGAGTATCGATGTGGGGATGCGAGTTCTTATTAACTCAAGTCTCCATGAAAATCATGTAGTCATCATGGCTAGAAGAGGGTCATACTTTTTAGCTGAACCCTTTTCACAGTATACTAGTGTATCCATTAGGTAGTTCAGGTTCTATAATCTAACAAGGTTAGGATGGTCGGACAACGTGGCCGAGTACCGCTGTATCACCACTGTAGCTCTTAAGTGATAGTTGCGGTTAGAGAATCTCCCATAAAAGTATAGTATTTTCATATACATCAGTTATTTATATTTTTACATACATCTCAGATATTATTTGTATACTTTTATACACTCAGAGTTTACAACGTGTTTCAGTCAGTTTTTCTTTATATTGCATTTACTTTTAAACTGCATATATATTGGACAAGAGTTAGTAAATCATGAGTTGAACAGAGCCAAGGTAAGTCTTCTTTCTCACTTTTTTTCAAGCTTAAGTGTCATTAGCATTCCAACTCGCATACTTGTACATTCAATGTACTGATGTCAGTTGGCCTACATCATATCATGATGCAGACACATGTAACGAGGACGACATCCAGCGTATCATTGATCCACTTGAGCACTCCATAATCAGTTGTTGAGCCTCGTTGCTTTCTAGAGGATCCATTTTATTGCTTTCTAGTTTAGTTCATTCGGCTTCATAGAAAAATAGTCATTTAGATTGTTTAGTTTGATGTCTCTTTTATCTTACATTTCAGATGTTTTATCTTGAAACTCAAATTCCATTTTGGCTAGATTATTACATTTTTTGAGTATTTTCCCTTCAAATTGCTCTTTATTGTTCAAGTTAAGTTAAGTCTGCCGCTGAGTTAAGTAAGTCAGGCCAAGGGTTGGCTTGAGTCCAGTAATAGTCACTAAATGAGAGTCCCGCCCAGGCTGTAGGCTTGGGGCGTGACAAACTTGGTATCAGAGCCCAGAGTTCAAGAATCCTAGGGAGTCTAAGAAGTTTTGTCTGTAGAGTCTTAGTCATCGGTGTGAATTGTGCTACATCTATGATTAGGAGGCTACAACATTTAGGAATATCTCAATTCTTTCATATTATTTTCGTGCGTTAGAGTTTTTCTCTAAAAGCCTCTCTCTAATTCATGATTGCGTGTATCAAAGGTTAACATGCCTCTAAGAAGGCCAGTTAGGGGTCGTCCTGCCAAAAGAAATGTTAAGGAAAAAGAGTTACCCAATGCTCCTGAAGTGCAACCTCAAGGGGAGGTTACCAATGCTGAGTTTCGTGAGGCTATCCAGATGTTGAGCCAAGTTGTAACCAACCAAGTCGGGAAACCAAGAGGAGCTAGACAAGAAGGGGCTGACATTTCAAGGATTCAGGAATTCTTGAGGATGAATCCCCCAAGTTTCACCGGATCAAGTACTACTGAGGGTTTGAAAAATTTTGTGGAAGAGTAGACGAAGGTATTGAAGGTGATGCATATGGTAAATACTGAAAGGGTTGAGTAGGTGCATATCAACTGAATAGTGTGGCTAGAACCTGGTTTGATCAATGGAAGGATGTTAAAGGTGAGTATGCACCACATCCAAGTTGGGCTTGTTTCAAAAAAGCCTTCTTGGGGAGGTTCTTTCCCCGAGAGCTGAAGAAAGCCAAGGTACAAGAGTTCCTTACTTTGAAACAAGACTTCTTGAATGTGCACGAGTATGGGTTGAAGTTCACCCAGCTGTCTCGCTATGCTCCTAGATAGTGAAGGACATCAGGAGCAGAATGAGTTTGTTGTTGGCTTGGGTCGTGAATCAAACAAGGAAGGCAAAGCTGCCATGCTGATTGGGGACATGGACATTTCAAGGTTAATGGTCTATGTGCATCAGGTAGAGGAAGAGAAGCGTAGGGATAAAGAAGAGTACAGAAATAAGAAAGTCGGGACTAGAATGAGTCTAGGCAGCAAAAAAGTGGTTC